TTTTTACACTTTCTTGAACTAGCGAATTGGTTCATGAAAGCCTTGGTAAACTGTCCGAAGGAATGTATGCTCCCAGGCGGCAGTAGGCCGAACCACGCTTGGGCTGGTCCGGCCAGAGTAGTAACGAAAGCGCGACACTTCACCCCTTCGGTAAGCTGATGGAGGGAAGCTGTGTTGTTGAATCGGCTCAAGTGTTCGGCCGGATCTGACGCACCGTTATATTCGAACAAAATAGGTCGATAGTTGAGCGGTATAGGATCATTATCGAGATGCTTGGCAAACGGGCTAGTACCTTCGGGAGCTCGCGTTAAACCGCTTCGCAAAGCCTTCAGTTCGTTTATATCTCGCCTCAAACTGTCAACCTCGGTCCGGACATCCTGACTGTCACCTCCTCTGTTTTCCGAGTAACTATCGCATTCATTTTCAGCTCGTTCTTCGTTCGTGGGGTGCCTAAGATCTCTTCTGGGCCTGTTTTCTTGTGGTGAAGACTGGGCATAGTTTCTGATGGCCGCAGTGATCATAGCTTCCACCTCGTTTTTGGTATACATACGTTCGCTAGGAGGTTGAGCGGGGGCTGTGACTGGTTTCCTTGAAGCGGTCTCACCATTCTGAAATTCAAAAGAAAGACTATCCGAGAGGGGAAAAGTTTGGCCCTCCTTCGTGGGGGTGATCGTGCTACACCCCGATTTGTCTTTTTGAACAGGTGATGACTCCGTAGTGGGGGTGTCGCGAGTTGCTGCGTCTAACTCTCTTTGCAAGTTTCGAATAATGGTGTCTCCTTGCTCCATTTTCTCCACGTTTATAGCTCAGATCTGGACTTCTGGGGGCAGATGTAGTATTTTTCCCGGAAGTTATGTACCCAAGATTTTGGAACTCTTTCCCACAGACGGCGCCACTTGATTTGGTCTGTGAGGCTTCCTTCGTCTTCTAAGGTTGAAAAAGATCCTTCTGTGGGTGTACCTGCAACGCCGGGGGGAGATCCCGGCGGGAAAGCTCCGACGATCAAGTCAGTTGTATGTTTCAAAGAGTTATTGCTGTAATGTAAGTACGTGAGTGTGTGTGAATAGATGATGTTTCCTCTATTTATAGATGATCATTCCTTGGCCTCCAAGGTTTCCTTTTTTAGGGTTTTTTTCTCCTTCAAGTTACATTTTCTGGGCCTTTATTATTTGGGCCTGCTTAGACTTTATGCATCTCCTCGGTGTTGGGCTTCAGTCATTTTTATACCCGGCTGCGAATTACGGTGTACCGAAGTCTTAAGTCGTTATTTGGAGATCACAGTTTGGTATCTTTTCTTATAGTAGTGAGTCGGTTCTTCTTAACTCGTATTTGTTCATCTCGGTCAGAAAGGCCCGTATCACGTCCGATTCCGGCCGCCGTTTTCGACCTCGTATTCCTCGAAGAACTCTACTTCCACGAAACAAATCTCACCGGCGGAATCCCACGCGCTATCACGAAACTCTCTCAGCTCAAATATCTAGATCTGAGCTTGAACCATCTTTCCGGCCAAATCCCTTCATTCCTCGGCCACCTCAAAAACCTCGTATCCATCGATTTATCGGCTCAATTCCGGCGTCACTGTCACAGATCCCGAACCTCAATACTCTTTTCCTGGACCGGAACAATCTCACCGGAGGAATTCCGGCGACATTTTCCAATTTCCGGCAAGGGGAGTTCTTTCTCTACGCGTCCCGTAATCATCTCTCTGGCGAGATTCCGAGGAAACTCGGAGAAGTGAATTTTAAGTTGATCGATGTTTCTAGAAACATGCTCGAAGGGGACATATCTTTCTTGTTTGGGAAGAATAAGAGTTTGATTTTTCGAGTAATTTGTTGCGGTTCGATTTCTCGACGGTGGAGTATTTTCCGACGAGCTTGGGTACGTTGGATTTGAGCCATAACAGGATTACGGGCAGCCTGCCCGTGGGGTTGGTTGACTTGAATCTTGACCGTCTGAATGTGAGTTACAACAGGCTGTGCGGTCAGATTCCGGTGGGCGGGCAGCTGCAGGGGTTTGAAACTACGTCGTATTTGCACAACAAGTGCTTGTGTGGTGCACCATTGAACAAGTGCAAATGATTCAAATTACATCTAATAATTGTATTGTATTGTATTGTTTTTTTTTTTTTTTTTTGATAAGAATCTAATAATTGTATTGTGCTCACTTGAAATAAGATCTAATTATGTATAGATATGTTGTGTTTGAAAAGTATTAAAAGAACACTATTAAATGTTTATAATTTTGATTAAAAACTCAACTTTAAAGTATTAATTTCAAACTAATCACAATAGAGAAAAAAAAAATATTTCAAGGTTGAAGGGGTTTGGATGCAATTAAATTTAACTTAGAATAATGACATCGTGTACCATCAATAAATAAATATTTCCTTAAAGATAAATTTTTTGTTTATTGAGTTTACCATAAATCATAACTCAAAGGATATTTTTACATGCAAATGATTTATTATGGAACTTGGGGAAATGTATAAATATTAGAAGTATATGGGTATATTTATAAATATACTATATAAAGTACAAACATATTAAAGTTTTTATTTATATATATATACTCCCATATAAATACATTCACCATAAATATTATTATCAATTTGCAATTTTAAATCATGTATTTTAATTAGGAAGCAATGAAAATATTTAATTAGAAAATTTGCTATTCAAATAAGTTTCTAACTTTCTAAAAATTGCAAAATGACTCATAAAGTGTCCGATACGAAACGTGTCCGAAACTCTGACATTGATACATTAAGAAGTTGAAGTTTCGATAGTAACTCGAGTTAAATGTGAATATATTGCGTTATGTTGACTTTTAGACCATTGGAATTCTCAATTCATGTGAATTGTAGTGTTTGAGTAGACTTTCCTAAATCACAATGGCTATGTTTGGTAAGCTTTTGGGCTTCCATTTCCATTTTATTCTGGAGAAAAATGTTTTGGGATAAGAATTTGAAAATAAAATAAAGTTTGTTTGTGTTTTGAGAGGAGACAATTTGTACTGTAGCAAGTCAAATCATCTCTAAAAGGTGTTGGAAAAAGGTATTTTGGAAGAAGAAATTGAAGGATAAAGTGATTTTAGTTTGTAATTTAGTGAAGACAATTTTCACTGTAGCAGTCAAATCATGTCTGTTGGAGAGAGAAAAAATTGAATTCTTTTTGAGGAAAGTTTTTGAAAATATTTCAGAAAGATAATTTTATTTTGGGGAAAAAATGAAAAGAATTCGAGAAGCTTACCAAACATAGCCAATATTATCATCCTCCACTATAATTTATCTAACATTCCATCTCAATTTCCATTTTATACAAAATAAAATAAATCAAAATCCAAAATAATTCAGCCATGGCCATGATGAACTACTTCCATTGTTCCATATTCATCTTCTTTTTTCTCTCCAAGACTGCATTTTCAGAGAGGTGCCACCCAAATGACAAAAAAGCCCTCCTACAAATCAAGAAAGACCTCAACACTCCTCCAAACAGCAACCTCATCTCGTCGTGGGACTGGGACCCACTCGTCGACTGCTGCGACTGGGACAACATCGTCCGATGCGGCGGCGCCGCCAATCGGATCATCCTCTTCAACCTAATACTCGCCGATCTCAACCACCTTCCGATTCCGGCCGCCGTTTCCGACCTCGAATACCTCGAAGAACTGTACCTCCACTCGACGAATCTCACCGGAGAAATCCCGAAACAGATCACCAAACTCACTCATCTCAAATATCTCGACCTGAGATTCAATCATCTCTCCGGCAACATCCCTTCGTTCCTCAGCCGCCTCCAAACCCTAACATCGCTCGACTTGTCGTACAACAATTTCACCGGCTCTATCCCGGCGTCACTATCACAGCTTCCGAACCTCGATACTCTCTTCTTGAACCGGAACAAACTCACCGGAGAAATCCCGGGATCTTTCTCCGATTTCCGGCAGCCGAAATTCTATATCGCTTGTCCGGTAATCAGCTCGCCGGAGAAATCCCGAGTAGATTGGGAAATGTGGATTTTCAGGTGATTGATGTTTCTAGAAACAGGCTTGTAGGGGATATTTCTTTCTTGTTCGGGAAGAATAAGAGTTTGATATATGCCGATTTTTCGAGGAATTTGTTGGAGTTCGATTTCTCGAAAGTGGAGTATTTTCCGATGAGTTTGAGTACGTTGGATTTGAGCCATAATAGGGTTACGGGCAGGCTGCCCGAGGCGTTGGTTGAGTCGAATATCGGTCGTTTGAATGTGAGTTACAACAGGCTGTGCGGTCAGATTCCGGTGGGCGGGCAGCTGCAGGAGTTGGAAACTACGTCGTTTTTTCATAACATGTGTTTGTGTGGTCCACCGTTGCTAAAAAAATGCAAATGAATATCAATTTAATTAATTATCATGCCAAATTTGAATTACATGATTCTTGTCTTTCAATTTCTTTTGGGTAAAATACAACTACCCCGAGGTATGATCAAATTACGAAAACCCCTCTCATATTTGGGTAATTACAACCACCCCTCAACTATAAATATTTTTACACGTCTACCCTTGCGGTTTCAAATTTAATGGAATCTTCGAGATTATATGGAATATTATCACTTTTGTGCCCACTTAATCCCATTTGAACTCTACATTTTGAAACTGAATGATCATAATATGTGTTTTTTGGCTTCATGTATATATCAGATTGTGGTGCATCAGAAATTGTATTTTTACACAAAACGAGTACAAAACTAGAGCACATTCCACAAAATCTAGATGATTATGTTGAATTTGACACCATAAGGGTGGAGGTGTAAGAAAAAATCATAGTTGAGAGGTAAATGTAATTATTCAAACAATAGGAGTTTTTTCGTGTATTGACCATATCTCAGGGCTGATTGTAATTTACCCTTTTTTTTTACAAGTGCTTTGTATACACACGCTGCAATGCATATAGCTCCAAAGTGTCTGCCCAATTGGCCATGTTACTACACATTACTACATGATATGGCTATTATATATTATCTCAACTCTCTCTCTCTCTCTCTCTCTCTCTCTCTCTCTCTCTCTCTCTCTCTCTCTCTCTCTCTCTCTCATATCTTAATTTCTATCAAAGCTCCAAATTATATTGCAGACATGGCCACAACAATGCAGTACGGTTTCATATTTGTGCTGATCATCTTCTTTATCCTCTCGGCCAATATGGCAATTTCGGAGAGGTGCCACCCAAATGACAAAAAAGCCCTCCACAAAATTGTAACAGATCTCAGTAGTCCTAACCACATGATCTACGGGGACCCGAACACCGACTGCTGCGACTGGAACTTCGTCGTGACATGCGACGACGTAACCGATCGCGTCACCATCCTCGTTTTGCAAAAAGCCGATTTCAACCGTCCGATCCCGGCCGCGGTTTTCGACCTCGTATTCCTCGAAGAACTAATCTTACACAAGGCGAATTTCACGGGCCAAATCCCACAAGCCATTACCAATCTCTCTCGTCTCAAGATTCTCGATCTCAGCTGGAATCGTCTCTCAGGCAACATTCCGTCGTTCCTCAGCCAACTCAGCAAACTCAAACTCATCAAACTATCGTTCAACGATTTCACCGGTTCGATTCCGGACTCGCTTTCGCAGCTCCAGAACCTCACCGGTCTTTTCTTAGGCCGGAACAAACTCACCGGACAAATCCCGGGAGTCGTTTGCCGATTTCCAGCAGCAGAATTTCTACCTCCAGATGTCGCATAACAGCTCTCCGGCGAGATTCCGAAAAAAATGGGGCTTGCGAACTTTACCGATATCGATGTTTCTCGAAACAGGCTGGAAGGGGATATTTCGTTCATGTTTGGGAAGAACACGAGTTTGATTTACGCTGATTTTTCGAGGAATTTGCTGCGGTTTGATTTTTCGAAAGTGGAGTATTTTTCAAAGAGCTTGAGGGGTTTGGATTTGAACCATAACATGATCACGGGCAGCCTGCCCGTGGTGTTGGTTGACTCGAGTCTTGACCGGCTGAATGTGAGCTACAATCGGATGTGCGGTCGGATTCCGGTGGGCGGGAGGCTGCAGGAGCTTGAAACTACGTCGTATTTTCACAACCGGTGCTTGTGCGGTGCGCCGCTGCATGAATGTAAATGATTTTTTCGATTTTTTACGAATCTACAGTTAAACCTCTATAAATTAATACAGTCGGGACTAGAGAAATTCTATTAATTTAGCGAATTATTAAATTATCGAGTTAATAATTTAACACGTTTTTACAAAATTGGGACCGAGAGAAACTATTATTTAATCAAGGTTATTAATCTATCGAGTATTAATTTGTGGAGGTTTTACTGTAATTAATTAAATCCAGTAATTTGAATGTTAATTCGAAACTCTTGTTGACGATATATAAAATCGTTGCAGGAAAAGATAAAACCGTGTCGAAGTTGAAATGGGCCGGGCAAAGCTTTGTTACCAATTATGGCCATATTCAATACGACAACGATGTTCGTCTTGAATTAATATTAAATAATACATTCACTAACGACTTAAGTTTTTTGTTGAGATGGACATTCAACATTTTTCCGACTCTATTTTTTTGGAATTTTACAGTTTTCATCCTTTAAATTTGAATCGATTTCACATTTAGTCCCCCATATTTAATAAAAATATATTTGGTCCCTCACGTTTCAAAAATTCCACACTTTTAGTCATTTACGCCAATTTTCTATTAAAACTAACGGAATCAAATGTGTGTCCATCACTACCATAACTAACAGACTAAGGATAAATTGATCGAAATGACCAAAAGTATCAAATTATTGAAACATGAAAGGCCAAATATGTTTTTTTTTTAATATGAGGGACCAAATATAAAATCATTGCAAACTTAAGGGATGCAAAATGTAAATTTCCCCTTTATTCCGAAACAATTGCAATTTCTTATAAATTAATCCAGTGCATGCTTCGTATACAGACATTACATATAGCTCCAAAGTGCATGCAATTGGCCATGTTACAACACATTATTTCATTATATGGCTATAAATTCTCATTCTCTCTCTCTCTCTCTCTCTCTCTCTCTCTCTCTCTCTCTCTCTCTCTCTCTCACACATAAACTCATCCCTCCAAATGATTTTTCAATACAGTTTCATATTTGTGCTCTTCGTTTTGCTCTGCAGGTTGTTCATCTCTGACCACAAGTTCCATGTCGAATTAAAAAATGAAAAGTAATATATATATATAATATTCATTTTCTCATAATTACTAATTAATAATAAGTAGTCGGTATAGGAAAATGACATGAATAATTGATACTTTAGTTTTTCTATAGGTTTTTTTCCAGAATAGCGTAGACTTTTTTTTTATCATTATTGTGATATATATATATATATATATACTTGCATTCTATCACTATAATAAGCTCGTGATTTCATTACCATTAGGCCTCTTTTGGTTTGATGTATGGGATAGATAACTTTCCTGGGATTATATAATTTTACACTATTCATGATTATATAGTAGCCAAAATTGTGAATTTGGTTTGTAGGATTTACTACTAAGGATAACTATAATGTAACTTTTGGTTTGGATGATAAGGACTGATAACATCTGCAATGACAAAATCACCCTTTCCATTTATGTACTGGTGATTTCATACTTGGATTTCATTTTATCTGTGTTTTTACGGAACAAGAAAAAAAAAACAATATACATATAATTTCTTTTTTGAAACGATGAAAAACTAAATTATGTTAATATAATGCATCAAGCTAATGGACAACTGAGACTGCTGCCAACAGATTACAAGTCATTATGAATCCAACTATTAGCAATGGTTTTTGCCTCTGAAATGATCCAAACCAAAAAATTACTACAAATTCATCCAAACTGGAAAGATAGAGAACAATAGTGAACCATTTTTAATGTTCATCTGGCTACACATTTAGATAACAACATTAAGTAAGGGTAAAATACAAGACAATCCACATCATTAAAGCTAGACAAATTGATCGTTTTAACAGATACATAAAAATAGCAGCTTTCGATCCAACAGTACAAATTAACTAAAAAGGAATTTAATAATACAACATTCTTGAATAATTTCACAAAGTTGACTTGTTTAGAAATGAAACTATGCATATATGCTCAAGGGTTCTGCCTGGTTCGAGGAAACAAGTCCACGCTCAGCGGTTGGCTAACCGATGATCAATTTCCTGAAATACAAAATTTTTGCAATCTAATTTAATTTGGAAAAATCCTAAAAGAAATTTTATGAATCGTGTTTCGCTTTTGTGTTGTATTATATTAATATCTAGGTAAGTAATTACCTTTCAGCACCATTGTGCTTGGTTTCATAAGAATATTTATTTTTTTAGCAATTTTTTTGAACTCACAGCATCGCCATAGTCGACCAAAACATGTCAACAAACACAGAGGATCATATATGTAATAATAACTTATTTATTAACCTTAAACAATGTGAGTATTTTTTTACCTGAAGGGTTCATCACCACATCACCAGCTTGTTTAATAGCAACCGTTGCATCAGGATAAAACACGTGGCTCATAATCTCCGAACTTTCAATTCCAAACATATGTCCAAGCCTCTTGAAAGACTCTTCGTACGACCCAAGAAACGACAGGTTAAGAGTCCGGCCTACATCTTCGGAAGCCAAGAACACTTTGCAGTGACCAGTGTCCAGCCCAATTTCAGACGAATGATAACCCGGTTTCCTAAAAAACTAGGCACCAGAACAATCCAATGAATGCATGGACCTGTAGATTTTGCATGCCCAATTTTATTGTTTTGCACCCATTCCCAAACATGAGCAGCAACTTTAATAATTCGAGAAGCACTCTTGGAAATTATCAAGAAACTCACCCGAGAACATATTTTTACTTCGAGCTGCATGAAAAGAATACCAAAGACAAAATTGTTAGAATTAATAATTTGCCAAATTTGAAACAAGATTAGCATGTAAAAACCAAAAGATATAAATATATTCCTTTTCAGATTCCACTAACAAGTTAATATCCAAATGGGCAATAGATATATGAAATAATAATAATATAAATAAAAAAAAGCAAGGAATCTACCCAAAAAAAAAATGTGAAGATTTAAAGTATGTATACAAATACACGCAACAAATTCTTCTAAAATCAAAGTGCCTTTTTGAAGAGTTACAAGAAATTTAAGTATAAAAAGGGACGGAGGAAAAATAATTTTGAGAAATACGACAAATTACTCCTCGTTCTCTTGCAAGGACTGACTGCGATATTGAGCAGATGTCTGAAAAATTCGAATTAAATTCACAAGATTTCGAATTCAATTTCCGAAAATTGTTCCAATTAGATGTGTAATCGATTTCATTGAAAGAAGAATCAAAGAAAAATACTTACCCATAACTTTCAGATATTTTAAGATCTACCCGTCGTTTGTTCGGAGGGTGTTGCTGTTGTCGCGCCAGAGAAAGGGGTTCGTCGGAGACCCACTGGTGAAGATGAGGAGCAGAAATTTGTGAAAGTGAGAAATTTTGTGTAAAGAATGATACATCTCAGACCCTTTTGGTCATTTCATCTTCACCCGTTATACTGATTGTACAATCCTACCTCAGAGGGTGGGATAATTTATCACCCATATGCATGATTCGGTACCGGGCCCTCAATCAATACCGGGTTTATGTCCCACATACCAAACGTCTGATTAAGGGTGACTATTCTGTCTATCACCCCTTATCCGCCAAACCAAAAGAGCCCTTAACGTACGTGACAGAATTAAACAATACTAGCTACTACATACATCCAACATTAATGGAGGTACTCTCCAAAGACAAAATCAAGCCATCATCTTTCAATCTTCACCAAAACCTTCAAAAAATAAAACTATCAAATTTAGATCAATTAGCTCCCCCGACATACGTCGGCCTCATTTTCTTCTACGAATCGATCATCGCTGAACCGTAACTTCGATCGATCCCAAATTTCTCAAAACCTTAAAGAATCCTTATCCAATGTCCTAACAAAATTCCATCCTCTGGCGGGAAGAATAAATCGAGAAGATTCTTGCATCGACTGCAACGACAATGGAGTAGTCTACGTTGAAACCCTAGCCCGGGCCCACATTTCTGAAGCCACCGAAAATCCAGATCTAACGTAACTAGTTAAATACGTCCCGTTAAGCGAAGCTAACAACCCGGAAGAAATCCCTCTTTGCATCCTGTTGGGTGCTAAATACCAACACGCAAGTGCACGTATCGCAAACAAGTAGTAAAAGTGGACTCGTGAGAGTCGGATGTCGATCCCACAGGGAATACTCAAACTATCTAATCCTAAGTACCAAATTCTAACAACTATGATTTTTATCCAGCCTACGCAAGTTTGTCAAATTAAATCAATTAAATAATTAAACTAATTAAGAAAGCAAATAATCCCGAGAAAATATCAATATAAAACGGATCTAGGATTTTATCTTCCCCCTATGCGATAATTCTTCACCCAATTAAACCTCTATCATGCAAGTTACAATTCCCGATTACTAACCCAAGACACGAAATTACTCATAACCCGCTGTCGCATGTATTATGAGTCTATTATTCATAAACGATTCACTATATGTCTATGCAAACCTAGTATGAATAAAGCATTAAAATAACAAGTCTCGTAAACGGCTACCTAAGGTATTATCTGTATGTCTACGATAATACATGCAATTAACACACTCATCCGGTGAAAACTACTCGAATGCTCTCCTATACTTGTTCTAATTATTAAAACGATCTGTCAATCAATTCTAACAATAACACATAGCAACATAAATTAGCTACTTTCATGCGCTAAATAAGATCAAATAGGAGAAATAATCGAAGAATTAAACTTGCATAAAAGTAGAAAAAGAGGTTCGAATTACCACACAGGGTTCCAACAAAATCCTAGAATAAAAACTTAGATACTCATGTTCTTAACGAAAAGCATAGTAAAAATACGAAAGTTCATAAAAATCCAGAAATAAAAGTAAAGGAAGAACTATGATGAAGATTCGTCAAGTCTTCGTCTTCGTTGCTCCGTTCTCTTGCTCCTCGATTGCGTGTGTAAAGATTGATTCCTAATTGTGTGCTTTTTGGCCTTTAAATAGGGTGCAAAAATATAAGAGGGCGGTTTCCTTGTGTAATTAAACTTCCTTCACTGCGCCCTTTCGTGAACCCGGACGCCCGTGCGAGAATTAGCCTTGAAATCCGGACGGCCGTCCGGCCTTTAATTCTTCAGAGTTTTGATTTTCTTACTTTTGGCCCACTTTTTCTCCGAATTTGCAATTTTTACCCCATAAGTTTCCAATTCTTCAATTTGTACCTAAAGTACAAATAATAACCATTTTAAGCACCAATTATCGTTAAAACACACCCAAAAGCTCCAATTAAAAGGTGCAATTAAGTGTAAAAATATACACTTAACACACCCCCAAACTTGAACTTTTGCTTGTCCTCAAGTAAAATCAATTTATGAGCACAAAACTCGACTATACATCTCATTACATAGATCGATTGATCAACTTCGCGTTTTCAGAAATTGCAATTATGATGACAATTCCTAGGTATTCGTAAGCTTAACATTCAACGGGACTTAGTCACTCACTATCACCAAAAACCACAAATCATACAATTGCTTCCAGTATCCAATATTTGCAAATTAAAGATAGAAATAATTTATACTTACATGCATATATTTGACTCCAAATACTCACCAAATTATTCTACTCAACTAATATTGAACATTAAGCTATTGGGATCATTGGGACTTTGTGGCTTTCAGATGTAAGGCTCTTTGGTTCGAGGTAGGAAATATGGGTATATGTGGCTATTGTTCTTGAATTGAGGTGATTACGCTGAAATTCGAAGTATAAGCGTTGAAACAATGTAATCACCTCTAAGGACTTTAGTCAACTCGATTCTCAAAAGTTCAAAAATCTCCACTTTTGCCCTTGAGACAATGGATCGAGCTTTCGACACAATTCAACAACTAGACCTTATTTCTCCCTTCTATTCTCTTCTTCTTCTTCTCTTCTTTCTTTTTTTTTTTTTTTTTTTTTTCGAAGAAGAAGAATTTTCGACCGAACTTCAAGGGATAATTATTCAAAAATCTCCACTTTTCTACCTTCTACATATTGGCTAAAAGAAAGAACACCTTTTCTCCGAGGCTC